CTCTAAGATACCAGAAGGACAGAAAGCCTGTGTCAGAGATGTCTGAGGAAGCTTTTCTTGACTACATCAGGTTGATAGGAGGAACACCTGAGGAGATACTGCAGAACAAGGGGATGATGAAACTCTTCCTGCCCCCACTCAGGGCAGACCTGGAACTACTGGACTTATACAGGTAACACTAATATTACTTCTGGGTATGGAAGTATTGTTTTGGGTGGCTCACTGGTGTCAGTTTGTGTGTTTCCTGTTACAAAATTATTGTACAATTCCAATACATTTACAAAATTCAAAATTAAACACGCTTTTGTTCTTGGTAAACCATGACTTTAGGGGGTGATATACTACATGTACTTATGAGTCCCAATAAGTTTAACAGTACTTAAGTTATTTAATCATTGGCATGCCAAAAAACAGTTGCTGGATATGATTTTGTAAACGGTCAGACATTTTGTCTAACCTTCACCGACACATTCAGTCGTTGGTTAACTTGCCCATCTTTCAAACAATGGCATCTTGTTAATCATCAGATTCTGTATTATTGTAATAAGTTCTGTTTCCATGTAGTTACCACATCCCAGATTCAGGCCCGGAGCTCAGCTGTCCTATCTCATGTTTTGATGGAACTGAAGACAGAGACCATGATCTGGACGGTGGGTATCATACAGCTGTTCACATGTCTAATAAGCAACAATAAATATACCGGTATACTGCGTAAACACAAATTGCTGTGTTTTGTTACTGAATCAAGAAGGTTGTTTGTATGTGGTATATGTGCATTCAAGGAGGTTGAATTTTAAAGGTTGATTTTAAACCTCCTTGGTGCATTGTGCATGCATTTTTTTTATGAAAAGCCTTATATTGTGTTCTTATTTATTGGATTTAAGACATTGTATTTAGTAATACATGAAATTTTATTATAATTATGTTAACTTACATTGTATTTTCAAAGCAACTTTAGTACAAATTATAGCTGAGTACTAACCAACCTTACAACAAGAAAGAATGTAACAAACTGCCAACTATTGCTGTTGATATAATCTGCACATTGCATTTACTAGTAGGTACATGTACAGAATTTATTTGTTTTGTTCCTTTTTTTCAGCATGGGGAGACCTTACAAGTCACAGCGCTTTTCAGAAAACTAAACTTCCTGGTGGCCATTTTTATCTTCTTGACAAGAATAATGAACAAACTCTACTCAAACATATCCTACATGTTCTTGAAAACCTTTGATTAAATTTTCTAGTTCATAATAGATCTATAATTATAAAATATGTACATATGTATTATGTATAATATCTCCAAAGTATTGGAAACATAGTTTGTGTCTGTAAATTAGAAAGTGTTATGTTTTTCTGGCTAATGTTTTTTTTTTAGCATCTTGGTTTGTTAGTTGGTGTCACTGACTTGGTGTTGAAAAGGTTCTTCACAAAGTAGACCTGGAAAAGTGAAATGAAATAAATTGTTTACTGCACTAGACATCATTTGATAAAATGTTACTTCTTTGCAATCCTTCCACTCTGAAACTTGTACTGCATACATTGTACTGTAGTTGTACTGCATATGTTGTGAAAACTTGTACTGCATTTAATTATGTTGTGAACTGCAGACATACACATGCAAGTAAAATCAGTACTTCATTTCCTTTTGTTGAAATAACAGAGCATTCTTACAAACACCCTGTGTTTACTCAGTTACAGTATGAATTTCATTTGTGGACTCTAAATTCCACCGTGGAAGAATTACTTCAGAGTTATTTTTGGTGTTCATGGTTGCAACAACCTTAATGTTAGTTAGTAACTGTTACTGTACAGTAACTATTATTTACTGTTACAGTTACTGTAACAGTAACAGTAATCAATGCAAGAGAAAGCATTTGTTCACGGTGTAATGAGCTAACATAATGGAACATAAAACCACTGCAAACATTTCCCAATCTTCAGTACTGACCTGAAACAGAGATGTCCCCACGATCACAGCACACTGTAGGAGAGACCAGTTATCCACATACTTCCTGTTAGACTCGATCAGGTAGAAGTCACGGGCAACAAACTGTCTGTTGTGAGCCTGGTGCTGTCTCATCAGATGGACCTTGTAGTCAACCTGGCTCATCGTCGTCTGGAGAGTGAAATTCAATAAGGCCACACCAATTTAATTTCTTGGTTAATGGATTCGCCCGCTTCATTTTTTTCTGATTTGCAAATAAAAATAAAAATTCAGAATCAACTGCAAAATGCTCATATTTTGCCCTGAAGAGTTGAAAACAGTCCTTTTCATCCTAGTTGTTACAGTTATTCCATCTTTCAATGCAATGGTATCATTAAAAGTTCAAAATTCATTGTTTAGATTTTGAACCAGCCTGGTGTGTTGACTTCATGGCTCCTAGCGTACCATTTCGGGCCATAATAGGATGCCTAGGCCTGTTTTATATTTTTTTCGCCCGCCCGCTCCATTATTTTTCTAGAAAAATCCATTAACCAAGAAATTGAATTGGTGTGGCCTAATGATAAGTTCATGGTACAGAAGTGACAGTGAAAACAGTGAACAGAGTGTACAGTGAAAAAATTAGGAATTACAGTAGTTCCATGGGTATGATTGAATTTTATGGTTCTAGCCAGCAGGTAATTTTTCTCCGTTTAATATTATCTCAATTTTGTTTGACATAACATCGTGTGGGGGCATTGGGCTTTTTATAGGGGGTCCAGGGGCATGCTCCCCTGGGAAAATTTAGAAATCTTGAAACCCTGAAATGCTATTTCCTATATTCTTAGGGGCAAATTTTGCTGGTAGACTAAGCATAGCTTGATGTCAATAATGACATTTCTTTCCATATCTTTGCACACAAATTTTTGTCCTTAAAAATTTTAGGTGGCTCCCATGAGCCTTGTTTTGTGGTGACCCATGAAGTAAATAGAAAAAAAAATAACGGATTGGGCAAAATTTTGTCAAATGTACATGTGTAGTTCTATTCTACCACCGATTTTTTTGTGTGAAATTAAAGTTTAAACCTCTTATGATTTATAAATTATGACTTCAACCAACACAGATGAACTTTCAAGATTAGATGTAGAACATCTAAAATAGCTATCTGAGAAAAATATGCATGTTTGCGGTGGCAGCCAGAGAAGAAAAGAGAATGTCAGTGAATTATTTGTTCACTGTAAATTGTAATGATAAATTTGTGGTACAGAAGTGACCGCGAAAGCTGCGAATATAAAAGTACCAATGACAATAAAATGATTTACAGCATAATCATATTATATCAAGTATATCAATATGTTGAGGGCCTTAGTATAATTAGGGCAAAGGCATGATACAATTGTGGTACAAAATGTACAGTAATAATAAATTAATACAATACTGTATACTTGTTTTGGAATAGTATTCATTAGTTTGTAAATCCTGAGTGGTACAGGTAAAATTTGTCTGGTGCAGGTAATTTTCAATGGTGCAGACATGCAAAAAAAAGTATTTCGAATTTTCGAGCCTTGAAGTATGTGGCAGGGTTGACTTGTTAATTGATGGCAAACTGAAATTTACATGTAGGTGATACAAATTGATTCACAGTCAGACCAGTCATGATATGCTTGGAATGACCGGATCCAATCTATTCAAGATGTCACGTTTTTTTTGTCTTTAACTGTTACCACAAATCTTGAGGAAATGTCATCTGCAGGTATCTTTCCTAAAGGCAACACCAATTTAATTTCTTGGTTAACGGATTTTTCTTGAAAAATAATGGAGCGGGCGGGCAAAAAAAAAATAATAAAACAGGCCTAGGCATCCTATTATGGCCCAAAATGGTACGATAGGATCCATAAAGTCAACACACCAGGCTGGTTCAAAATTTAAATTAAACAATGAATTTTGAACTTTTAATGATACCATTGCATTGAAAGAAGGAATAACTGTAATAACTAGGATGAAAAGGACTGTTTTCAACTGTTCAGGGCAAAATATGAGCATTTTGCAGTTGATTCTGAATTTTTATTTTTATTTGCAAATCAGAAAAAAATGAAGCGGGCGAATCCGTTAACCAAGAAATTAAATTGGCGTGGCCTTAGTGGCTTACCCTATGGTAACATCAGTGGACATAAGTGCGTAAGATTGTTATGTCACGAATACTGTGTTATGGAAACAGTAGAGAAAAGATGTTGCAGAGTAGCCATTGATTTTATCAGAAGACAGGTTAGTCAGATTTAGGTGATCAGCTCCATGGTACCACCTGGACACTTTAATTTCATGGTCCTGTGGTTACGGGGTTCCTTGGTGCAAAAATATCAATGTTTTCTTCCACAGACAGTAGGGCATCTATTTCAGGGCTCGAATTTAGTCAAAATACCACCTGCATATACAGTATGTATGTGTACTTAGTAGGTCATTGGACTGATTTGGAGGTAAAATTGAGCTGTGCAGGGGACATCTAAAATTACCTACACTGGACAAATTTTACCTGCGAACACTAGTATTTCTTTTCTACTTCATAGGTGGTAACAGTCAATGCAGCAAAAGTCCACATACACTACATTTGTATGGAAACCCAGTACATGGACCAGTGTAGGTTAGGTGTAGGTACAATGTACATGTAGACATCAGAAATACCTGCACAACTCCAATTTTACCTGCACTAAGGTGTATATCATGCACCCAGTATTTCAAGCCCTGCATTTGGTTTCATACCAGTAGTAAAATCCAATGAAAGGCAATAAGATAAAATCATGTCATTAATTTGGATAATTAGGAGACTTTTAATTAATGACATGTTGACAGCTGTGTACACTGCATTTCCCATAGGGGATAGATACATCTAGGTTATGGTAGGTAGGAGCCATGCATGGAGTGAGGACTTATGTTATACCACTGAAACAATCTTCCGAAAATATAATCAGAAAATTATGGAAATTCCAGTATATCTGCAAATTGCCAGCTTGATATATAAAAGGAAATTGTGACGCTGTTTTAAAGCAACTATTATTTCATCAACATGCTATCTTTACATTGCTGAGAAATATGATGTTTTCATACAGTCTGACAGCTAAAAACTTGAATTGCATTTATATTATAAGTAATTTTGAAAATATGTTGCTTCCAATAAGCCATGACCTATTCCACCTGACAATGAAAAAAATTATATCCAGTGTAGAAATTTTGATTGAATATCTACAAATGAAGAAATGTACCATATTTTGAGGGCAAGGAGTGGTGTCTGATAAAGATGTCTTCAACAACATCTGGTGTCTTACTCTTGTATCTTGGGACAAGTGATAAAGAAAGACTTCCTGTGGAGACCTAAGATAACAGCACATCAAGTCTTAAGTACTGTGATGACTCATCAAAAAGGAAACAATCTCAGACACAGTGTACATTTCAATACAGGGCAGGGTTCTAGCTAGGATTTAATTTTAGTGTAGTGGCACTGGCCACATGTCAAGGGAGCGAAGCAGAGGGGGGATGGGGCGGAGCTTTAAAAAAATTGAGCTAAAAAGGGGCCATTTGAGGGATACCAAAAGGGAAAAAATGTTATTTCTAAGGTATGTACAATATATCCTTCGTTGGTAATTTTTCACATTTGATCTGGCATTCTTGAACAAAGAAATACAGTCACAATGCCCCTATGCTGTATTGAAAATTTAGCGTAGGGGGTCAAAATTATAGCGTAAAGGGGGAAATTTAGCGTAGGGGGTGAAAATTTTAGCGTAGGGGGCCCCTACGCTACTTCGCGCTAGCTAAACCCTGCAGGGCTCGAAATACTAGTACTGAATGTGTGCACCCAAATTTAGAGCTGTGCACCTAATTTTTTTCTGTACTAGAAGGTGCACCAGTGCACCCAAATATTTTTGTAGATTTACATATGTAAAGATGTCAAAGGTATAGTAGTATATAGCATATTCTTAAAATCTAAGTGTGTGAAAAATAATCAGTGTAATGTTATAGTGTACCTTTCTTAAGAAATGAAACAAAATTAGTTTTTGCTTACATTCTACTTATGGTGCACCCAGGAAATTTTTTGTGCACCCAAGTTTTTTGTGCACCCTATTCCCAAAAATTAATTTCGAGCCAATATATTGTTCTTTTACCTGTTTCCACCATATTCTATTTATTGAAACAAAAACCAGCCTATATGTAATATACACTTTTTAGATATTCCTGCACTTCCTTTCTTTTATTATTTTTATAACCTCAAATACAACAATTTATCAGATACCGAGCAATTTAAAAAATCAGAATCATAACTGAAATGGGGTACAAAACAGAGCTAATAGTCAGCAATTTATAGTACAGTACAGGTCTGATAGCACTATACTATATTTTCCCTGGCTATGCTAAATAAAGCAGCATCCAAAAAGAGGATACCCAAAAAATTCTATTTTAAGAATCAAAACAACGTCATGCCCTCCACATGACTCTGTATCTGTGTATATTGTAAACAAAACAATAATCTCCTTGGATCGTGGTTAGAATATAATACAGCTGTACACTGATGGTAGAATCAAGTCACCAGATGGGTTTTAGCCTGGGGCAAGTATTCCAACAACATTTCGTTTGTAGGGTAAGCATATTTGCTTAGACTTCATTCGGAACAGACTGTTTCCCTGTCATATGGCACCGTTTGCTCTTGTCTGGACGACATGGCTCTAAAATCAAACAAAAAGTCTCATCTTGGACTTCCAAAAACGCTCCAAAAATGTACATATGCTCTCTTTTTTTACCATTTTTCCCTCAATGGAAAATAACGTAAGAAAACACAAAGGGTTTATTTGTCTTCCTGTAGCTTCCTGGTAAAAAAAAACGCGCTATAATTTTACCTGCAGTATAATCCAAGTGGGATTTAGGCTGCCCTAAACCAGATTAAACTACGCTTTGTCACGACAAGAAGGCTCTTCTGTCGTTTCCTTGTCTTAAGTTGATCGTGAGTAAGATAATCTCGGGTTGGATGTCAGTTGAGAGAGTTTAACGAGAAGATATATGGAATCTGTCCAGCCGGCTGCGAACGTGAGAAACATAAACAAAACACACTAGCTCTCATATCTCCTCATATCTTTCGTCCTGTGTTTTTCCTAGACAAACGGATGGGCTAAAATAATGGTATCATATCACATATTAATGTAGATATTAGACGTTTATGTCACGTTGAAGGGTAAAAACGTAAAAATAAATTGTCAGCGGGAAAGACCTTTGTTTACCTACGATTCGCATTGCGCTACGATTCGCCTGTTGATTCGGTTGAGTGACAATGCAAAGACCGGGGCACACCACCAAAAACGCCGTCAGATCTCCCAAACTAAGGGCTAATCGTGGTGACAAACGATATCTTACCGTGGAGTGCGTCTCCAGCCGTGAGCGGGTACCAGGACAGCGCTGTCGGGGAGAGTTTGACGTCGACCTGGCGATTTTTCAGGAGGAAGGTCTCCCTCGCCAACACTTGGTCCGCCATGATACCATTGTACTGATGCACTGATGCGCAAGGCACCATGGGAGGGTAAAAAAAGATGACGAAACTCAAAAGTCCACATTGATATAACCAGCGAAATTAAAGGGGCATTAAGTAACATTTGCTGACAAAAAAATTGAAATAACATATTTAAAGAAATGTGTGTGATTGTAATTTACTTACACTTTGCAAGATTTCTGACTTGGTGCTAAAACAGCCCACACGAGGCGCACTTTGTGGTGCCACCATAAACTACCGAAATGTAAACAAACATGGCTGACTTCGAAATTTTAAACACACTCGTAAGGCGTTATATTTTGGCACATCCACACTTCCTGAATGACACTTTGCATCTAGTGGAGTATATATGGTTGCTGATTAAACTACTTTGTAAAGAAATGACCAGAGAAAATGTACTTTTTTTTCCTAATGTTACATAATGCAGCTTTAACATGTATGAATATATTTCGCGAAAGTATCGATGTCCAGTCATATTAATCATTTCTTATGATCTCTATTCTTTTGCCTAATTACATTTGAAATTGTATATGGAAACGTACCATGTACTTCAAGTCACTCCATGCAGTTCCAATTAACTTATGCCTGTAGCCAGAGGGGGTTCGGGGGGTTCTTCCGAACCCCCCCACAAGGCTCAAAGGTCCACTTTTTGGTCCACTTTTTATGTAAAGGTCCACTTTTTGATCCACATTTTATGTAAAAGTCCACTTTTTGGTCCACATTTTATGTAAAGGTCCAAGATTTTTCTTGAAAAGATGGACTGGAATCGTAGAAAAACTGCTCCCTTTGTCATTGAATAAAAATTTATCAAAAATGCATGAAATGCCATTTTATAAGGTTCAATTTTCAAAATTTTCCGTGGGCCCTAGGATGTAGGAACCTCGCCTACGGCGCTCGAGGTTCCCTCAAGCAGTGGGAAGAACCCCCCATTCAAAATCCTGGCTACGGGCATGTATTAAACTATAGTTAATTGGAACCGCTAGCCTATGGGACTGAAGACTGTCGACCGTAGAATTCGTGAGATCAACCATGTTTCAGTCACAAAACTATGATAATCAAGATTCAAGACGGAAAATTCTCCAACTAGAGTTCCACGATCTCATACCTTCGCCAAATGATGTTAGCCTTCATGAATAAGAAATATACTAATCACCCTGATTATGCAAATAGGATCCTCAATTGCATAAATTATATCAGTCTGTTGATCATATTCTCCACCAAAAGACAGTCTTATCTTAACAAAGAATGCCATTTTCTCATAAATTATGCAAATGTGGTCCTTATTTGAATAAGTTATGTTTAATTATGTTCACCTTAACTTAACTTTCAGACACCCCAAGTATGAAATTCCAGGCAGTTACCACTACGCAATTATAACATTTTCTCATTAATTATGCAAATTAAGTCTTCATTTGCATAATCAATATTTGCCTGTGTTTCTCTCGTTCCTAATAACATATGCTACAAGCTTGAACTTCCTATCGTGGAATGCAGCTGATTTATAGAATTTCCTCATTAATTATGCAAATTACATCAATATTCGCATAATTGTAATATCATTATGTCAAGCATCACTTAAGCTACCTACATACCAAAAATCACGATGATCCATCAATCGGTTCTTGAGTTATCCTCTTTTAAACATTTGTCCTTTAAACCCCCCTGCAGTTCTAGAGCAAGCCGCTAGGGGGCCTAAACTCACGTCACTTCTTCCCCAGCACAAGAGCTACCTTCCAACCAAATTTCATTACCATAGCATGTCTGGATCTTGAGATAACAAAACCGGAAGCTCAGCTGCAGTACCATAACAAGCCGCTAGGGGGTCCAAAATCT